TGTAAAATAAATCATAGACGAACTTGTTTTGCCTTGTTATATTATTATTCAATTGTATTTCATCAAATAATGTTAATTACTTTTTTTTCTATTATTTACAGTCAAATTTCCTAATGAGAGTATCACGTGTGTCTCGGTAAATGAAAGAACGTAGAACATTATAAATGATGCATTGTTAAATATTTATTTTCTGTAATTTAATAATTAAACAAATAAACGCTGTGGTTTTATTTTACTTTAAGCGTGCAATATGACATATCGACTTTACACGCGTACTCAAGATTTTGAATCACTTGGCCAGTGTTTCATTAGTTTTGATTTGACTGAATTTGATTTTCGATCAAATCCTCCATTATCTTATTATGTTAAATATTGGTTCATTGACATTGACGATTTGATCGATTGTCTCGCCTCGAAGTTTAATCAAAGAATAACTCTAATTATATCTGATCTTGTTATGCATATTCCTTATGATATTCTTCGTTTAATATTTCCTCAAATTATTCAAGTAATTATCATTGGTAAACTGTCGCATCGATATGAAAATGTTAAATATTTTCCTGATGCTCAATTACTTGTCGATCATCTTTCTTCCGTTGTACGTGATCGTCAACGTGTTTACATAACTTTTGATTCGTGGCCTGTTGAACGAACATCGTATGATTTAAATAAACATACCGCTAAATATCTATGGTATGGTTATTTCTATTTTATTCTATCACGTTTAAAAAATACTAATGTAGCACGAGAAGAAATGTTGGCAAGTATACAAGCTTTTCATATAAAACAAACTGATATTGTCAAAAGAACATGTATGGAATTTCAACAATCATATAATTCAAACGATATAATCAAATGGTACACTAGAGAATCTTTTTTCTATCTATTATTAAATCGAACATTACGATCAGAAGATATTAATCATATCTTTGCCATGCGTTATGTTATATTTGATTTGGAAAATTACTTGCGACAACATCGTCATGAAAATCATTCTCTTAAAACTGTCTATCGTGGTCAACAATTACATTTGGAAGAAATACAAGAGATCGAAGCCAATATAGGTGGTCTTATTGGATTAACTGCTTTTTGGTCGACTACTCATTCGGAAAAAACTGCTTTTAATTTTGCTGAAATTTGGCCTCGACATCGAACGGATTCAGTTGAAAGAGTAATGTTTTCTATAAATATTCCTTATGGTATTCAAGGTCTATACTCGGATATATCACAATTCAGTAGAATAGAGTACGAACTCGAAGTTTTATTTTCTTTTCGTTCGATATTTCGAGTTGAACGAGTGAAAAGAACTGGAACTGATCGATTTTGGTATATCGATTTAACTTTGATTGATGAGAATGATGAACAATTTGTTTCAATTATGCATCCATGGTATTCATCAACGAGAGATATTATCCGTCATCGATCTTTTTTCACACTACAAAATGTACAAATTAATGAGAACTTTTTTCGTAATTTAACCTTGGAAAATGGATCATTTTTAGCTTTTCAATTATTAGTTGATATGATGTTACGATTAGATCAAAATGAATTTGCTCGTAATGAACTTTTACAAGTTTGTCGAGATTCTTATGCAGATGATCCTATTGAATTGAAAAAGATTGACACATTTGAACAAACATATGATCCTCGAGATGCAATTAAATGGTATACAACAGATTGTTTTCTTTATCGATTAATAAATCGTTCGTTAAGAACTGAAAGTATCGATCATATTTTTAAATTACGTTATTTTATTCATGATCTTCACAATCAACTTGCTCAAATACAAAAAGAATTTCTTCGTCTATTACCATCAAATCAAATCATTCTACAACTTTATCGAGGTCTTAGAATGCAATTACATGAATTACATGATCTAGAACGTAATGAAGGAAATCTTGTTTCGACAGATACGTTTTCATCAACGACAAGTGATTATGAAGCCGCTCTTTCCTTTTCAGGCGATGGAAATGTTGAAGATAATTATGTTTCTGTTATTTATGAAATTACTGTCGATACAATACTCACACATTGGATACCATTCGCTAAAATTGATTATCATAGTATTTTTAAAGATGAAGATGAAGTTCTTTTCTCAATGGGTGCAGTTTTTCGTGTTGGACAAGCTAAACAATTAAAAGATCGTTTGTGGATAATTGAATTAACATTAACATCAACTGAAGATGAATATTGGAATGTCTTAACAAATCATTTACATTCTACATGACATTTTGGAGTATCAGCCTATTGCTACAGAGTCCCGAGAGTGTGAGTGCTACGTAAATGCATTATCCATCCCCACACACTCAAGATATATTAAACATAAAAAAGACAAAGAGATTTATGATACTAAGCGCCAAACAGTATTCTTTTTTTTCTTTCTTCTATGCATATTTCTATATGACGAAAAATTATCAACGATCTGTATCATTATTAACCCAATGTTTTCGTTCTAATAAAACGATAGCATCTGCTAGTAATAGTAATATAACAACAATTACAACATTATCTAATACATGTCCTTTATCATTAATAATAGAAACTATTCATAATATTGATAAAATGGTTCAAACAACAGATATTATTTTTGATAAAGAAAAAGGCGATTCAAAACGAACAATCGATATTAAACAGATCGAAGAAATGCTTGTCAAATGGACTCATATTGCTCATTTTCTTGTTGATACTTATCAACAAATACAAACTTTTAATGAAAAATCATAGAAAAACACCAATATAAAAAAGTTAAAACGATAAGTTTTGCTCACCTTCGTTTAGCGCCTGCTGTAGATACGGAAAGAGGATGGATAAGCACAGGTTGTTTTTTATGTGCAGCTTCTCAAGCGGATCTGTAACGAATTGATAGTGCGGCGAATTGAACGTGACGAATTGATCGACCACCGAAAAGAATATAAATATCATAGGAGGATGAAAATGTGTGCTCTTTTCACTTTAATTTTACATACAAAGTATATTATACGAGATGATTCCACTTCTTCAGCTTGTCGTACTCCTTTTTTCAAGCCTGCTTGTCCACATTGGTACCACTAACCCAAACCGAAGCTCTATTGGTGATTACGCTCAAAGCGAAGGTTTCGGTTCATCATGTGCAATATTCCTGCTACCTATAGTTGGCAAAATTATCATATGGAGTTCTACATTATACCAAGTAGTATATCTATATTTGCAAGCCTCTTCGCCAGCTTCAATTTCAACTTTATTCCCGGAAATATCAACATTTATTAATTGCCTACCTCTCACGGCTATCTCGGTGCTTGGTTACATCTTTATAATCATTGGCGGCTTGGGAAGAGTTTGGTGTTACAGAACGTTAGGAGCATTTTTCACCTTTGAACTTACTATTCGTCGTTCTCATAAGCTTGTAAAGACTGGCCCATATGCATATGTACGTCATCCATCGTACACGTTTGCCTTTATTATGATGATAGGAATATTTCTTGTTCATCAACGCTTGGCAAATTTTTTTCCGGATAAGAATTGGATACAGATTCTGATCGGTCCCGTCGGATTTTTAACATGTTGTATAATGCTCGCACTGGCTCTCAAAAAGCGTGTTCTACGTGAGGAAGAGGGATTAAAGAAAACATTTGGCAAGGAATGGACTGAATACGTATCAAAAACTAACAAATTTATACCCAACGTGATCTAATGGACATACACCTATCTGTATAGTTATATTGTTAAAATAAATATGTTACCAACTCATATATGTAACAATCAAGTATCTTCAATAAGAATATCTATGAAAAATATTTTTGCTAATAATTCCGATATTTTATTTGTTAATTATACGCAAAGTTACATATGATTTCACACTGTATAAAACAAAAAAAAAGAGAATAGTCAGATACATAAATTGACACGAATAACAATAATATGAAACAAATAAACAAAAAATAATTCAGAAGTCTTGCTGTTATCTATTGTAGAGAGAGGAAAAAAAACAACGTAATATACACATACAAGTAAACATCATCTTTCATATGGTAAACTTAAAAATTTACCCGTTTGTACCTGAACAAGTTTTTGAATTCGTTCAAAACATGCACTATCACGAAACCATGGATAACGAAATAATTGAGTCATATCTGGTCGAGCATATGTATTTTTTTCTAAAGTTTTCGTTATAATATCTTTTAAATCTTTTTTT